GTGGTGTGGGTGGTCAGGATGGAGTTGTACGGCTCCACCACGGCGGTGGAGACCTGCGGGGCGGGATACACCGAGAATTCCAGCTTGGACTTCTTGCTGTATTCAACCGAGAGCCGTTCCATCAGGAGAGACGTGAAGCCGGATCCGGTGCCTCCGCCAAAGCTGTGGAAGACCAGGAAACCTTGAAGGCCGCTGCACTGGTCAGCCTGCGTCGACGAGACAAAAATGTGGTTATTGGTGGCAGCTCAAGACAATCTAGGCCAGAAGTTGGCAACCTGCAGCTCTGGAGCCGCATGTGGCTCTTTCATCCCTCTGATGCAGCTCCCTGTCGTCAGTCGGCTCCACAATTGATAGGGCTTTCGTTTACAACAGGTAGAGGAGACTCTAAGCAGTTGCCAAGTGCCTGAATTTTGATCACGGGACCGTGGGAGGTGTAATGGTTGTAAGTGTGGGAAACAGAAGTCCCTTTTTTCCCCAGTGCTGTTGTAACTTCAAATGGCCACTAAATGAACCATTGTAAGACAAGGAGTACCCGTAGACTATCTCTCCAAGGGGAAATTTAAAAGGAAATTCCAGTAGGTGGGGGGGTCTAAGGGGAAAAGACTTTCCCATTGTGGTCCAGTCTCTGTGGAGCATGGGTCTCAAAGTTGCTGAGGTTGTGGAACACTGCTCTTAAGTGGCTGGGGGAATTCTGGGAGTTGAAGCCCACACATCTTAAAAGTGGGAATAGGAAGTTGATTCCCACAGGAGACACTGGCCCGCAAAGCCACGTTCCGCCACTCCGGCGACGATTTTATGCGACTTCCAAATTTTGGGGGAATTTCATCCTATCGGCCTCCCACCACCCAAAATTTAAAAAAACAGCAGTTTGTTTAAAAGAGCGGGGGAAGGACGCGTTGACTTGCCATTTTGCGAATCCTGCCCAGGACGGTATCGATGATCTCTTTGCCGATGGTGTAGTGGCCTCGGGCGTAATTGTTGGCAGCGTCCTCCTTGCCGCTGATCAGCTGCTCCGGGTGGAAGAGGGAGTGGTAGGTCCCTGTGCGGATCTCGTCTGGCCAAAGAGGGAGAAGAATGAGCTGACGGGGCCCCATCCACCAAAAGCCCCCCACCCCCCCTTGTGAAAAACGCCCAGTCGATGAGCCAAGGGGAAAAGTTACAAGAAGGGAAGGGAAGGAGAATGCTTTCCCCGTAGGATGGTGGGGTCTTTGTGGATCTCCGAGCTTGGGGTGTGTGTGTTTTTTTTCCCCTCGTGGACGTTTCACGACCCCACTTGGTAATATTGTCAGTGCTACAGGGGAGTGGGAGTGTGTGGAAAAGGAGGAGGAGGAGGAGTTTGGGATACTAGGAGCTCTCTGGCTAGGGGATAACATCAGTGCTAGAATGGAATGCTATTTGTAGCGGGGAGGGTGATAGAAGAGGAGGAGGAAGAGGATGATAGGAGGAAGAGAAAGGAGGAGGAGGAAAGAAGAAGGGAAGGAAAAAGGAGGAGGAAGGAAGAGGAGGATAGGAGGAGAAGAAAGAAGGAGGAGGGGGAGGGGGAGGAAGAGGAAGAGGAAGAGGAAAAAGAAGAGGAAAAAGAAGAGGAGGAGGAAGAAAGAAGAAGGGAAGAAAAAAGGAGGAGGAAGGAAGAGGAAGATAGGAGGAGAAGGAGGACGCAGAGGAGGGGGAGGAAGAGGAAAAAGAGGAGGAGGAAGAGGAAGAGGAGGAAGAAGAAGAAGAAGAAGAAAGGAGGAAGAAGAAGAAAGGAGGAAGAAGGAGTAGGGCAGGGGAAGGAGGAGGAAGAGGAAGAAGGAGGAGGATTGTGGGGTCCTTGGTGCACTCTGAGCTTCGGAGTTTCCTTGTGGACGTTTCATGACCCAACTAGGTAACATCATCAGTGTTAGAAGGGAGTGGAGTTTGTGGAGAGGAGGAGGAGGAGGAGGAGGAGAAAGAGGACTGTGGGGTCCTTAATGCTCTGGTTGTTTCCTTGCAGACGTTTCATGACCTGACGAGGTAATATCAGTGTTTGAAGGCTTCTGCCTTAGCTTCTATGCATTGATGTTATCTAGTTGGGTCATGAAACATCGACAAGAAAAGCTCAGAGAGCACAGAGGACCCCACAATCCTCTTCCTCCTCCCCTTATCCTCCTCCTGCTCTCCACAAACCCCACTCCCTTTCCAGAACTGATGACGTGACCTAGTTGGGTCGTGAAACGTCTGCAAAAACCAACGAAGCCCAGAGAGCACCGAGGACGCCACAATTCGATCCTTCAACTACAAATATTCTATTGGTTATTGTCGATTGGTTCAACCTTTCCCAATCTTGTTTTCTACATCAGGTTTGTGGCAATTATTTTGAGTATGTAAAATGCCATTTATTAACAAGTGGTGCTTTTTTAGGGCTCAGGGAGTGTTACAGTTCAGAGGTTCTGGAACTTTCTGCAGATTGTGTCATGTTGTGTATCGTGAAATCAGCTTCCTTCCTGCCAATCAATATTGCGGATCGCTTAATTTCCCCGACGTTCAGAGATCAAATTCCTCCCCAGTTTTCATGGAGAAGACTTGCTATTTAATAAATAAGTAGCGTCGTGTTTCACAAATTGCATTAAATTTCCTACTTGCAATTTGATTGAAGGAATAAATACACATTTCATGAAAAACAAGGAACCTCTTCCCGAAAAAGCTTCCTCAAGACAGCTGTGGGTAAATAAATTCCAGCAGCTTTTAAAGGCACCAGGCAAGAAACATTAAGGAAAGCTGCAGTTTAGGGATAGAGAAGAAATATATTTTTCTTTTGTAATTTTATTTTTAATTAAGCTTGCGATTTCAAAAAAGGACGTTTCGGGGCAAGGCACAAGTGCAAATATAACATCCTTCCGCATTTCCTGTGACTGTTTGGGTAGCTGCAGAGAGCTGGGCTGGCTAACCTTCCCTAATCTCTACAGCTACACAGACCGGGCCCTCTTCAGAGCGTGATAGGCGCCAACAGGAAACCTCACGATTGTTGGCTTCAGCCGGGAAGTCCAAACAAGGCGGCACCAATGGTTAAAAACAAAAAACAAAAAACACTTCCATCTTTTGTCACGAAAACCGCACAATCGCTTATTTGCACCAGAAACCACCCAGGAGTTGAAAAAGAGACTTCAAGGGGTCAGGAAGGACACAGTCCCAAAGGGTGCAAAGAAATGATGGACGGCATTTAAACCTGGCTACCTAACATAAGGCTACACATACGGTATCTCTAGTCCAGGGTGTTAGGGATAACATTGTTTACCCTAACTGTTTTGGGTAAAAATAATAAATAAGGTATCATGGTTTGTTAGTTAAAGTGTGTGTAACTTTAACTGCAAGAATGTAATTAAGGGTGTGGTTGTAAAAGCACTATATAAGAAGCGAGGCAATTGCAGCTCGCTCTCTCTGGCTTGAAGATCCCTAATTACTGGATGGATTGATGACTGCGTTCTTGCTGGAGCGGGGAGAGAAAAAGGAGTGTTGATTTTTCTCAACGGAGAGAAGATAAAGATTGGACTGATTTATTGTAAGTGAACTGACATTGGCTATATTCAACGCGGACTTTGCAAATAGAGTATCCCCGACAAGACTTGACTGAAATTGATATATGACTAATGGACCGTTTATTTGACTATGCTATAATTCTTAAATGGAATAAACAATATTTTTGATAGCACAAGCGTATCTGTATTTTTACTGCGTGTTAACTAGAAAACTTATCTCACACATTTACCTGTCTTCCTATCTGACTTCGCTGCACGTTCTGTTTAGTTTGTTTTCCTTAACACCCGTTGGGGAATCCATGCTTAACACAGGGGTCGCCAACCAGCGGGCCGCGTACCACTAGTGATCCGCGAGAAAATTTTGGTGGTCCGCAGAGACATGTCCCCCCCCCCAAAGCAATTAATGGGGAGTGTGAAGGAGGTGTGTTTGTGTTTGTTTTCATGGTCGTGATGTGCACTGAAGATGAGGTTTGATTGCATTGTACGAGGTGCAAATGACAATAAAGTAAACTAACGAATTCAGCCTACGGGGGACACAAGGCTGCGACCGCCCACGTGGCTCGCGGGAACACAAGGTTTGCGTCGCTTGCATTGTGAACAACATGAGGTAGTGAGGGGAGGGGGGGAAAGGGTGGAGAGGGGGGAACTTGCCCCACACGCCCCACAAATCTGGCCTGGCCACCAGGCTGCTTCTTTCCGCTTCTTTCTTCTTCTGCTTTTGGCTGCACGCAAGGAAAGCAGCCAAAGTCTTTCTTTCTCTCCCCCAAACTCCGCCAGAAATGAGTCTTTACGACCCTGCAAGGCCTCCTGCTCCAAGAGGCTGCAAAGACGCATTTCTGGCGGAGTTTTGGGAAAGAGAAAGAAAGACTTCTGCGGCTTCTGCTGCTTTCCTTGCATGAAGCCAAAAGTCTCTCCCTCCCTCTATCTCTCTCTCCCCCTGAGAACGGAGCTGGAGAGAGTATCCTGGGATCCCAAATAAAGAACGATCGATCGGTAGGAAAACGGGATAGGGGATTTTCCTGCAGACTTTTTTTAGGGATTTTTCCCGGGGTCTCTGATCCGCAGGATTTTAAATTATGAGTTCGGGGGGTCCGTGAGATCCAAAAGACTAACACAGAGAAGGATTGTGGGGTGGGGTGGGGTGGAGTAGCATGATAGCAGTCTTCCAATATTTGAGGGGCTCCCCCAAAGAAGAGGGGGCCAAGCTATTCTCCAAAGCAGGGGTCGCCAACCTTTTGGATCTCAGGGACCACCAAACTCATAATTTTAAATGGATGGATGGATGAGGAGACAATAGACAGATAGACATAGATGAGATAGACCACAATAGACAGACAGACATAGATGAGATAGACCAGGGTCTTCAAACTTGCCAGCTTTAAGACTTGTGGACTTCCGCCCCCCGAATTCCTCCTCCAGTCATCTTAGCTCAGGAATTCTGGGAGTTGGAAGTCCATAAGTCTCTTAAACTTGCCAAGTTTGAAGACCCTTGTAATCTAAGTCTTGTTGAAGAACCTCAATAGATGCTCTTCATCTCCTTCTTCTTCTTCCTCTTCCAAGAGATTTTGGTCAAGTCACTTACCAATGACGGTGGGTTCCAGGTCCACGAAGACCGCCCGAGGCACGTGCTTCCCGGAGGCCGTCTCGCAAAAGAAGGTCTCGAAAGAGGAATCCACTTGCTCGGTCTCGGGCACGACCTTCGGAGCGGCTTGGTTGCCCAGGATGGTGCCATCCGCCTGAATCCCATGTTCCAGGCAGTAAAGTTCCCAGCAGGCGTTCCCCATTTGGACTCCCGCCTGACCGATGTGGATCGAGAGACATTCCCTCTGGGAAAAAGAGCAGAGGACTTCAACATGTAGGGTCGGCAACATCTGGCTAAATTTTAAGCATCTGCATTTCAGCGTTTTTTGTTTTTTTTTAAAAAAACAACAACCTTGGAGTGGTGCGGTGGCCTAGAGGTGGAGCTCTTGCCTTTCAATCAGGAGGCTGTGGGTTCGATCCTAGGTAGAAGCAGATATTTCCCTCTCTCTCTGTCTCTCTCTCTCTCTCTCTCTCTGTCTCTCTCTCTCTGGGAGCAATGAGAATATATCTGCTGAACAAAACTCTGTACTGGTGACAGGAAGAGCATCCGGCCAGTAAAACAACTCTGCTAGCTCCATTCAGTTGCTCAGACTCCACCCCAATGCAAGGGATTATGGGCTCGTTAAATGACGATGAAGATGATTTGTTCTATTCTATTTAGAGTGGGTGCGGTGGCCTAGAGGTGGAGCTCTCGCCTCTCAATCAGGAAGCTGTGGGTTCGATCCTAGCTAGAGGCAAATAATTTCTCTCTCTCTTTGGGCGTGAGGAGAATATATCCGCTGAATCGCTCTACGATTCACTTAGCAACGGGGCCCGGAAAGGTCATAAAACGCGGCCAAACTGAAGAACGGTTTTGCGGAGCAACAGAAATGTTGGGGCTCCATTGGGGTTGTCAGTCGAGGATGATCTGTATCCGGCGGATACAGATCCAGGTCATTATCATTCTCTTGGTTTGTTAGTCCTCGACTGACGATGACAATGGAATCCAACATTTCTGTCGTTAAGTGTTTGTGGGCGGCCTGCAGAGCTGGCAGCAGAGTTGGACAGTGGGGAGGAACATGGGCCAGTCCTGGAGTCTGGGGAGGGCTCGGACGAGGGATCTGCGTCCGACACCGAGATGGGCCGGGGCCACCTGGGAGTGTTGTGGTCAGCCGGCAGCAGGTGCAGATGGCTGAGGAGAGCGAGGACTCAGGTGAGGGGCCAGGACCATCAGGGAGTGGACTTCTGCCTTCAGAGATTGGGAGGGCTGGCAGTAGCAACGATGAGGAGGTTCCCGAGGAGCCTGGGCCAAGGGCACGTGCACGAAGGATCGCTCGGAGGAAAGAATTACAGCAGCACAGGCGACTCAGGAGTAAGGCTGCAAGGTAATGGCCCCTCCTCCCTCAAGAGGATAAAAACCAGGTTTTGGAAAAGCGTTCTTTGCAGACAGCAAAGAAGCTCTGAAACTCAACTGGTGGACATCTTAGTTCACGTTTGGAGAATCTTGTCAATGAAGTTCCTATCTCTGGGTTTTTTGGCTGCCTTGACAAACTTCGTAAGGCTCTTTCTTGTCGGACCTAAGTGTTGGAAAAGCAGCCTTTTATCGGTAAAGGAAGAGAATTGTGATTAAACCTTAAAGGGTGGGGGGCTGCTGCCTTGGTCTGTGTTTGCTCTCTGGGAACCCGGTTGGGTCAGATCAGGGAGTTATGTGCGGAGCCTCCAGAATCTGACATCAGCGAGGAAGAGGAACAGCAGGAGCCTGTTCCCAGTGTGCGCTTGTACAGAGCTGCCAGAAGGCAAGAACAGTTAGATCAAAACAGTTAGATCTTACTCCCGATTCGGGAGTAAGGCTTGGAGGTGATTGGCCCCTCCCAAGTGACATAAAGGAGGAGCGAAGGGACAGGAGCCTTTGCAGGAAGCAACTTTGTTCATTCTGGTTGGTTTAAAACTCTGAAGCTCTGTGTGGACTTTGTGCTCTGTTTGGCCTCGTATAGCTAATTGGCAATTTAGTCGTTGGCAGCATTTCAAGGGAGATAAAGGTGGGTGCTTATCAGCCTTATCCCGAAAAGACTGTGGCAGACTTTTGTGGGGCTATTTACAAACTGCTGGGAGACTCATTACGGGCTGCGAATGACTAAAATTCACAACTGTTGAAATTTAAAAACAAAAAAAGGTTTTTGGGAACAGTGTGTGATCGTTACTGTCAAGGGAAGCCTTGGTCTGAACATGAAGTGAGACATTCGTTCAGTGAATTGACGAAGTTCCCTGCCACCGTTGTTAAGCGAATCAACTGCAGCTGGTGTAAGTTAGTCACCTGGTTGTGGAGTGAATCTGGCTTCCCCGTCGATTTGGCTTGTCAGAAGGTCGCAAAAAGGAGGGGGGGGAAATCGCGTGACCTTGGGAATGTTGGAAATTAAAACCCGCCCCTCTCCTAGGAAAATGAAATATTTTAGGATATATACTAAAAAAAAAAAAAAAAAGGCAGAATATTTCCCCTAAAAAGAAAAGTAGAGAGACACAAACTCACCTCAGAACCAGAAACTCAGCCCCCCTCCTCCCAACCTTTGCTAATGGACCATTACTCTGGCCTGGGCCAGCCTATTTTACATAACAAAGACCTACTCCAGGCGGAGCCATAATAGGAAATGCCCAAAGCCTTTTCCATGACGTCATCATCTAGCAAAGGCTCAACCAAGCCTGGGACTCAGGACAGCCTACCGAGTTTCCCCCGCACGGCCCCATGGGAGTCTGACAACCAATCAGAATACAAGTTCCAATTCAAATCCCAACCGAGGGCATAAAACCCAGGCGCTCTCAGCGTTTCTGTCCCTTTTATCATCCTTTTCCCTTCGGAGCTCTAAGCCCATGTGGTCCTGTCCAACATTAAGCCATGTTTCCAAACAGCCTCCATGTTTCCAGTATCTTCCCCACTTGGAACTGAACCCAGAAGGATAATTCTTCCAACAGGACACAGCAACGGTCATAAGTATGAACCAGTTGTCCGGATTTGGATGACCTGATCACGGGGATGCTGGAAAGGTCATAACTGTGAAAAATGGTCCCAAGTTCTTTTTTTCAGTGCCATTTCAAACGTCAAATGGTTACTAAGCGAACTGTTGTAAGTCAAGGACTGTCTATCTTTTTTATGTATAAAAACATCAGCTGATTTCTTTTATACACGCGGCGTAACATCTTTCTCCCACATCATTCTTGTATGTGTCATACAAGAATTTTAAAATCCACTTTCAAATCAAGTCCGAATCTTAAAACAAGTTGTTAAAATCTATCTATCTATCTATCTATCTATCTATCTATCTATCTATCTATCTATCTATCTATCT